CCTGCCCCCACATCCACGACCCCGACGGGGCCACACACACACTCAAGTCACTTAGACAGGCACGCAGCACACTCACACAGGTCAGCCAGCATTCAGACAGACATGCAGTCCAGCACACACACACACAAGCAGACTTAGCAGGCGGGGGGACTTAGTATGGCATGCATTCCACGGCAAGACTCAGAAATCGGCTGTCTGTTTCAGTCCGTGTGATGACAGGTCATAACATTCTACTCTTTTTTTTCCCACGGCCGATAGCTGGACCAAGTACTGGTTGTTTTAAGGAAATAGGTGAGAAAATGAGGGAGCGCTTGTAACTTGCAAATGAGTGGTGGCCTGCACATGCAGGATAGGGTTCCAACTTGAATTGAACCCATGGAGATCATTCTACCTATAATACGATCCAAGGGTGCGTGGTGGGGAACCTGTCATGCTGGTTCATGCTCCCTAGAGATTGCCTATTATAGGGGACAGTGGACAGGCAGCGTGGAATATTGAATAGTGTTGAATGTAGCTGGGATGCTGGACCCAATTTTCAGCTAAGCAGACACTGGGGAAGGGTCCCAGTACATACTGGGTAGAATAGTTTGGTCCTGGCCTCCAGTGGAACTCCATTGTATAATAAAGCTGTGTTTTCCACAAAAAAAAAGGAAAAGAGAACGAGGGTGGGGACCACCGGGCCTAGCTCTGTCAGTTGGTACATCCATGCATGAACTGCCGAAAAATAAATTACACGTGCTTCGTGGAAGGATTGCTGATTGCCCTCTGCGGAGTGTCAGGCACACACACCACGTCAAAATGATTAGCACGGCGAGGCAAGAAGAAGGGAAAGAGCAGAAGTCATAAGGAAACTGATCTAGCACAGAGTTAACGGACACTAGCAGCAATGGAGATTCGGGGGAAAACAAAATGGGAATAAAAGATGTAATCTTTATAAGTTTATACATTTGGTGCAAGGATCCACTCGTCTCTTTTCCCTTTTTTTTTTTCCAGAGGGAGACGGCCTTGAAATATCATGATTTAACTGACCGGCCATAGGTGATCCAGAGTTAGGGGCTGAACCCACACTATATCACTTTCGTAAAAGTCTCAAGTTGGAAAAGCAGGAAGCACCCCGTTCAGAACGTCAACGGAGAAGCAGATCGCACATACCCGCATACAACGGAGCTTTCTTGAACGGGGGTGCGGTGTCTTATGGGCGCCTTGTTCACGACTGGAGGCTGGACATGGGAACCCCCCATCTTTCATGGTGTAGAGTAGGGGTCCGTCCCACCCCAAGTTCTTGAACTTCTACATGGGTGAGGTTTGCGCGCTAACCAACACGTAATCACTCGTTTCCACATCCTGGATTTTTTTTTGGAATGGTCGACTCAAAGGAAAAGCAGATCGCACAAACTTTATGTGACGGAGGTTTCTTGAATGGGGGTACGGTGTCTTATGGGTGCCTTGTTCTCGATTGGAGGCTGGACATGGGAAAACCCCATCTTTCATGGTGTAAAGTAGGGGTCCGTCCCACCCCAAGTTGGGCGAGGTTTGCATGCTAACCACGTAATCACTCGTTTCCACATCCTGGATTTTTTTTTGGAATGGTCAACTCTGCTGGATATATGTGGGATCCCAAACGTACGTTGCCTAGAAGGACATGGACTACGTGCTGTGGGATCAGTAGCTTATTCCATGCTGTTCATCTAGTTTCGTGGGGTTTGAACTCATTCGAAAAATTGTAGCAGTTTCTAATGATTTTTGTTGGGAAATAGGGTGATAAGGAGGAGCAGGAGGAGGTAGTAAATGGCAGAAAGAGGTAGTGAGGAGGTGGTAGTAAATGCCAGAAAATTCGCACTGTTTGCTGGAGACTTTCTCCTGTTTTATGTGTGTATAAGGTCGTCTTCATCATTAAGGCTTACCAACGACATGCATCAGCCCATGGACAAAGTCCAAACGAACAGCTTAATTTGTGCTCCTTGTTCTGTGTCCTTCGTGTGTTGTCATGTTCGCTATTACACAACTCCACAAGTTAAAGCATGACTGGGCCAGACTGTTTCGTCCGACTTTCACCTCATCACGAGGGTGAACCTACTCTTGCAGTCTGCTCAGGATGCATTTAACTGGTGGATAAGGACTCACAACGTCGCCCTGAGGTAGCAATACCCCTGAGAGAGAAGAGTGGTTGATTTCACTCACACCAACCCTGCGTGCGTGCGCGCGTGTGTGTGTGTGTGTGTGTGTGTGTGTGTGTGTGTGTGTGTGTGTGTGTTACATGCTGAAAGCCTACACACGGGCCCCTCACGGGACCCGAGGTTGGAATAGGGCCCCCAGGTCGCGTCACCGCAACCTGAAGGCCCTATGGCATTTTTACTTGGGCCTGCATCAGAAAAACGCCAGCTTTAGATTATTTTTATAGTCTTTATTTTATTTATTTGCTGCTGTTTTTCTA